TCCTGTGGATTTGGTTTAATTTTCCTCAGCTTCAGCTTGAACTTGCATATGAGTAATTGGTGGTCTGTTCCACAATCAGCCCCCCCGGCCTAGTTTTCACAGCTGATATTGAGCTTTTCCAGGGGTTCCTTCCACAGATGTAGTCCATGTGATTCCTATGCATACCATCAGGTGAAGTCCATGTGTATAACCTGCGTTTGTATGTCTTATAAAATGTATTTGCAATGAATAAGTCATTGATTTTACAAAATTCAATCATTATATCTCCAGCTTCATTCCTGTCACCAAGGCCATGTTTTCCGACTACTGATTCTTCTTCTCTGTTCCCAACTTTTGCATTTCTACAACTATTTAAATTTATCAAAGTTCATAGAGTTTCAAGAGGCATATTACCTATTCTAGATATTTTGTGTAAGTGGGTTGATACAATAATTGGTATTTTTCAAACTGACTTATTTCCCTCAGTGTGTTTCCAAGTTTTAGTCATATTATAGCATGCATCAAGACTTCGTTTCACTTATAGATACTTACTAAATTTTGTTAATGCATTCACTTATCCATTGATGTCAGGCTGGGTCATATGATAATTCTATGTTTAACTTTCTGGGAGCCTCCAAGTCAATTTTCCCAGTAACTACCATTTTAGGGAACTCTGCTGGCCTAGTGGTAAGAGCCTGTGCTGCCAACCCAACAGTACTCAGTTTGAATCCACCAGTTGCTCTATAGGTGAAAACAGGCAGTCTCCTCCCATGAGGTTTATTGACTCTGAAAATCTACTGGAGAGTCAGCTATGTGTTGATTCTCACTCAATGGTATATAACAATGGTACATTCTTACCAGCAATGCCAAGGAAATATGACTGCCTCATGATTTTGTTTGATCATTCCTATCACTGTGGCAAGTCTTAAAGAAATAGAGTTTAGTGGTCATGTTTAGCAAATTTCATAGTAAATCAATTGTGAAGCCAGTTAACCAGATTTTGTGTCACTCCTTTTCAGGTTGAGGAATTTGGAAGGGTCCTTGATGAGGTATAATTGGGAAATAGCAAGTAATACAATTAAATTAGGTTTGTATTAAAGCCTGTGCTATAATTCTTGGGTAACTTGGGAAAGGATTAAAAATCTAGCAAAAGGAGCTCTGCTGTCATAGTGTGTTAGTGTTGTGTTGCTAACCAAAAGGACAGTGGTTTGAATCCACCTGATGTTCCACAAAGAATGATGTAAAGTTTCTTTCTTTAAATATTTACTGCCTTGGAAACCCATGAGTTGGAGTTGACTTAATGGAAGAGAGGATTTTTTGGTTTGTTTAGATGTACTTGGGTGTTGATTTTTTCCTTTTTTATTTTCTAATCTATCTTTATTCAGTGGAAGCTCTGGTGGTATAGTCCATTTAGACTGAGAGACCACATCTCTGTAGTAGTTCATATCCACTAGCCACCCTGAAGGAGAAGTATGAGCTGCCTGTGTACTTTTTTAGCCTCCAAAAACCTGCTGGAGAGTCGGCTATAAATCCATTTCTAACTCACCAGTAATAACTTCAATTTTATTTTTGCATTTATTTCACTTTGACTGATATTAGAGTTGCCAAAATAAAAGGTAAAAGCACTATGTGCAAAGGGATAATATTTTAGTTTCACTTTTATTATTTAACATCTTGCAAGAAAAAAAATCACAGTTGTTCCAAATCCATGAAGAATTATAACAAAATGCATAAATATTTCCTTCCCTCCACTCTGTCATCCATGTGAGATCACTCCCATTTTCATTTCCCATACATGGTGTCTTGATCCTCTAGGATTGCTGTAATAGAAGCACCACAAGGAGGTGGGTTTAAGAACATCAGTATATTTTCTCACAGGTCAGGTGGTTGGAAGTTTAGGTCATGGTTTTGTCTTCTGTGAGCCCTGTTCTGATTTCTAGGTTCTGTCTTCAATCCCTGTCACCCTTTGGTGTTTCTTATCTTTTGTCTTTCTTCTGTGTGTGCCTCTGTATGCTGCTGGTTTTGTAACTCAGATGTGATTAGGTGTAGGTCTGGTCTACAGGCTAATTGAAAGGTGGCCAGTTCAAAAAGTGGAGTTTTTAGGCCAGACCAAAAACTCCACAGGGAAAAAGATGGGCAGTCTTCTTCCATGTGATTTACAGCCTCCAAAAACCTACTGAAATGTCTCCTGTCAGTCAGTTCTGACCTGATGGCAATGAATTGTTTCAGTGAGTTGCTCTGGTATGGTTTATTAACATAAGGAAATACTATTTCCCAAGAGTCACAGTCACCATTAAAGAGGTTAGGATTTCAGTATATATTTTAGGAGGTAGGATTCAAACCTTTAACACATGGTAAGAAGCCTTCTCCCTTCCTGCCTACAGATGGATGGTTTCTATCCTGGCTCCAAACCCCACCTCGACTGAGTGCTGGGCAGCACTTCTACATGATCATATGACTCTTGATATGGATGCAGTCCTGTCAGACTTTGTTCGGTCCACAGGGGCAGAACCAGGTCTGGCCAGAGACCTGCTGGAAGGTAAGTTTACCTCATTGTCCCTCACATCACCTATTGGGTATAAATGCCTCTGCTTGGTTACAATAGAATAAGTTTCCATTACATGACATATATGATTATCATTTCTCCTACCTGAACTCGAAGAAAAAATATTTGTGATTAAATTAGTGATGTCATTTCTTATGTTTATTTGAGCATGGAATGTTGTTGTTGTTAGGTGTCATCAAGTTGACCACAACTCATAGTGACCATACATACAAACAATAGGTCTGAACCTTACCCTGTGCTGTGCCATGCCACATCCTCAATTTGAGCCCATTGTTACAGTCAGTCCATCTTGACACTGTGTTGATCCATCTTGTTGAGGATCTTCCTCTCTTTCATCTTCCATCTTTCCCAGTATGATGTCTTTTCCCAAAGACTGGCATGTCTAAAGAATGAAAGACCAAATTTCATCATCCTTGCCTCTAACGAGCACCCTAGTTTCATTTCCTCTAAGACACATTTATTTGTTCTCTTGGCAGTCCAAGATATAGTTCTCTAAAACCACAATTCAAAAGCATCAGTTATTGTATCACCCACAGGGCACCGCTGATAATCTTCATTAAAAGTTCAGAAGGCATTGACTAGGCTTTATGGTTGTTAGGTGTTGTCGAGTCAAGTAGGACTCATAGCAACCCTGTTAGAGATGGGGGAGACTGAGACTTGAAGCATCCTGAGACTAGCAGAATCACTCTCTCTGTAGGATTCTGTACTTCCCCTGATAGAGCAAACCTGTGAATTTGGAGCTTGATTCCTGTCATACTCACATTTGGAGCCATATACTCCCACTTCTTAGTGTTTACAGAGTTCATCATCTCTTCACATCTTCGAGCTGGCAGCCTCTGTAACTGGCTGAGGGATACTTTGTGGTTCTAGAGCCAGATACACGTTATTTCTATATTCGGAAATAAACACTCCCCACCTGCCAAGACTGATTAGTCTCCATCGCTGAAATACTGCCCCATCTGCAATCTATTTCCCGATCTGGCAGAAGTTGTCTATGATACCCTGTGATACCTTGTAAAGCTGGCATCAGGTGCATGCTACCCCTACATTTAGAATTTCACATGTTCTCCACATAGCACAAATGTGATTTCTACACCCAACTTCTGGGCCCTGTTCCAGACCAACCATCTTATCTCCTCCACACAACTCAGCAACAAGAACACCAATCAGGTGTACCACATTCCCTATCCCCATTTCCCCCCATTTTTTCTTTTTGAAAAATAAAAAAAATCCTATTATTTTTCTATTTTTCCTCACCCCCACCCCAGTTTTGGGTTTTCTTTTACTATTCATGTTTGTCTATTATTTTTATTTTTTCTTTGTCTCATGTAGAAACATAGGACATATGTTTGTACTGTGTTGCCAGGGATGTGTCCTGTCTCCATACCTTTTCAATCTGTATGCAGAGCAGATTATCCGAGAGGCTGGGCTCTATGAGGAGAAGCGTGGCGTTAGGATTGGTGGAAGATCTATCAATAATCTGCGTTATGCAGATGACACAACCTTGCTTGCTGAAACTGAGGAGGACCTCATGC